TTAAGTCTTTGTCCACTTGACCTATCTATTGGAGACAGTGGGGTATTGAAGTCCCCTACTATTACTGAGTTGGGGTTAATCTGCGTCTTAAAGTCCTGCAGTGTCATTTTTATGAATTTGGGTGCACCAGAATTTGGTGCATATATGTTAAGAATTGTAATATCTTCTTGGTTAACTGTTCCTTTGATCAGAATGATTCCACATGAATTTTAGAATCAATTTTTACATTTTCTGCAAAAAAAGCTGATCCCCCCCCCCAAAATAAGGTCTTGCTATGTAGCTCAGGCTGGCTTTGAACTTATAAAACTTTGGCTTCAGCCCTGTGAATGCTGAGTGTTGCAGGTAGGAGCCACCAGACCTAGTAACATTTGAAATTTTGGTGGGAATTACATTGAATCTGTAGATCAATGTGGGGAGTTACTGCCATTGTAACAATATTAATTCTTCCAGTTTGTGAGAATGAGACATCTTTCTACTTGTTAGGTCTTCTTAAATACCTTCTAGTGGTATTTTGTAGTTTTTACTATACAAATTTACATTTCTTTGGTTAAATCAATTCCTAAGTATTTTTTGTTCATTTGTTTTTTGAGACAGGGTATCCCTGTAGCCCCAGCTGGCTTGGAATTTGCTATGTAAACCAGGCTGGCCTCAGTCTCACAGGGATCTGACTGTCTCTGCTCCCCCACCCCAGGTGCTGGGATTAAAGGTGGGTGATGCCATACCCAGCTCCCCGAGTTTATCTTTTTTTAAATCATGAAAAGTATTAACTTTGTCAAATGTTTTGTGCTTTTATTGAGAGGATCCAGTAGTGTTATCCTTGGTTAATTAATACGATACAGTGGATTGATTGACTTCCATATGTTAAACCAACCTTGCATTTATTGTGCATAATTTTTTTTTAAATGTTACTAGATTGTTTCTGGGTATTTTCTTGAATGTTTGAAGATCCTAATATAAGGAGCATTGATCTGATGCTTTCTTTCCTTATGCTGACTTTGTCCAGTTTTGGTGTCAAGACAACACTGACCTCAAAGAAAATGCTAGAAATTGTTCCATCTTCTCATATATTTAGAAGACTTTAAAAGTTGCTAGTTCTTGGGGCTGGAGAGGTGGCTCAGCAGTTAAGAGCACTGGTTGCTCTTGCAGAAGGCCTGGGTTTGGTTCCTAGCACCCACGTAGTGACTAAGAACCATCCATAACATCTGTTCCAGGGGATCCAACGCCCTCTTCTGGTCTCTGTGAGCATTGCATGTATGTAGTACACTGCATGCATGCAGGCAAAACATACACATAAAATAAAAATATTTTTTTTAAAGTTGTTTATTCTCCTTCAAATATGTGTGATAAAACTTCCTGTGAAGCCATTTGAGTCTTGGATTTTCTTATGGGACATTTTGTTTTGTTGTTAATCCAGTCTCTTCTATTTCTTCAAGTCAATTTTGACAGTTTTTGATAGATTTTGTGTGTTCACCTAACTTCTCTAATTAGGTGGCGCACAGCTGCTCACAGGAATCCCTCTGTGCTGGATAGCTTTAGTGTCAACTTGACACACCTGGGTTGAGGGAGCCTCAATTGGGGAATTGACTCTATTGGACTGGCCTGTGGCCATGTCTGAGGGGCATCTTCTTGATTGTTGAGTGATGTGGGAGGACCCTGCCCACTGTGGGTGGTGCCACCCCTGGGCAGGTGGCCCTGTGTTGGGTAAGAGAGCAGGCTGAGCAGGGGCCAGGGGAGCAAGCCAGTAAGCAGCATTCCTCCATGGCCTGTGCTCCAGCTCCTGCCTCCAGGTTCCTGCCCTGAGTTCCTACCTTGGGCTCCCTGATGAACTGCGACCTGGGAGAGGTAAGCTGAATAAGCCCTTTCCTCCCCAAGTTGGTATTGGTCAGAGGGTTTTGTCACAGCAATGAAGAACAAACTAAGATACCCTCATAAATTTTTTTTTTTTTTTAATTTCTGTGAGGTCATCAGTAGTGTGAGTTTGAGGCCACCCTGGTCTACAAAGTGAGTTCCAGGACAGCTGGGGCTACAGGGAGACCTTGTCTCAAAAAGCATAAATATATAAATAATAAATACATACATACATAAATAAGCAGAACTTTAAAAAAGATCAAAGCTCCAAGTTTGTTTCATCAATTTTTCCATCCTCTTTCTGTTTCTGTCCGCTCTGCTGTGATGTCCCTTATCGTCCTGTCTTGCTCTGCGTCAACTTTCCTCTCCTTTTCTGGCTTTTTCAGGTAGCAGTTTAGGTTACTGATTTGAGACCCTGTTATTTAAACAGTGTTCATAGTTACACACTGCCCTTTAAACATTGTTTAGTTTCGTCCCAAGTTTAAATGTTATTTTCATTTCTATTTATTTGGAAGTTTTTTATTAGCTATGTTTGCAATCTGTTCTTTGACCCATGGTTTCAGATGTTACATTTCAACATATTCTTTAAATTTCTCAAACTTCTTTCTGCTGATATCTGATTTATTCCATTTTGGTAAGAGAACATACTTTGCACAATTTCAATGTTTGAATTTATTGTGACAATATTTAACTGCAAGAATTTGACCATTCAAAGCACCTGATATAAATGGAACCCTTGAATATTACTCTTTTTGTGATTGTCTGACTTCCTTTAGCAAAATCTCATCAAAGTTCTTTTGTGCTGCAGCATGTGTTAAAATTCCTTATGAGTGAGAGGTCCTGTTTGTGTAAATAGTACATTTTGCTTGTCTGTGGAGCTGTTGATAGACAACTGGCCTGACTCTATGTGTTAATTACTGAAAATAAAACTGTCCTGAACTCGGTCGTACAAACATCTTTTCAAGACCCTGATTTCAATTATTTTAGGCCCATAGCCACAAATACAAATATGGCATCATATGGTAATTCTACTTTATATTTTTGAGGAATTGTCATGCTTTCTTTTTGTAGTAGCCATTCCATGTTATAATGTTACAAGTGTTCCAAGTTCTTCACATCTTTGCAAATACTTTATTATTGTCTTTTTCGTAGTAGCCATCAAAATATGTGAGGTAGAATCTTACTGCCATTTTGATTTGCATCACCTTTACGAACAGTGACACCGCACACCTTTTCATGGGCTTACTGGCAGTTCATGTATTTGTTTGGGAGAAATAACCATTCATGTTTTTTGCCCATTTTTAAATTGGGTCTCCTTTTTGTTGCTGAGTTTATATATTCTGGATATGAATATCCTAACATGAATAATTTGCAAATATTATCTTTCACTTTTGAGCTGAATTTTTATTCCACTGACATTGTCTTTTATGTTCAGATATTTTACTTACACTTTTTCCTTATGTTTCCCACGCCTTTGGTGTCGTACCCAAGAAATAACTGCTAATCCAGTCGTACCGCTCCCTTCGTGTTTTAAGAGGTTTATAAATTTTGTTATATTTACGTCTTTAATCCAGTTGAGTTGACTTTTGTACATAGTGTTGAGCTCAGGTTTGTTCTTTGCACGTGAATATCCATTTTTATCATCATCATTTCTTGGAAAGAATATTGTTTCCTTCATTGAATGGTCTTGGTACCTTTGTCAAAAATCACTTGAGTGTACGCAAAGACGTGTTTCTGGCTTTCTATTCTGTTCCATTAGTGTATGCATACTATCCTATTCTTGACTGCTCTGGCCTTGCAATTGTTGTGTAAGACTTTTGAGTCTGTTGGGGCTGCTTAAGGGAGTATGGACAACTCAAAGGACCTGCGTCACTGAAAGTCCACCCAGCACAAATGACAACTCATGAAAAATTCTTTTCCAGACTTCCCGACAGGACAGGCAGGTAGCGGTACAGCTTGGGGACCTCCTTTCCTCAGCAATTTTTCTGCTTGTATACCTCCAGGAGGAGCCTTATGAATCTTGTACATTTCAGGAACTTCCCCAGATTTACCGAGCTTGTTTACTTCCTGAGTCTCATGCATCTACCTCTTCCCTGCAGGAGGGAGTGTTTCAAATCAGAGGAAATCACAGAACTGGACTCCATGCCTTCCTCCAGCTCTTACACTCTCTCTACCCCTCTTTCACGATGTTCCCTGGGCTTTGGAGGGGCGGTGTAGCTGTCCATTTATGGCTAAGCACTGGGCCACAGCAGCAGTCACCTGTCCTCAGGAGCTTCACAGGTGGTTATGAGTCTTTAGGGTACACCATCTATTACAAAAGGGGTTTCTTTTTATGACTGCAGCTCAGAGCAAGTGATCTGTGGGCAAAGGCACAAGTGTTTAGAAGGCAGTTTGAGAGGTACATCATAGCCATTCAACACAACAGTAACAAGGGCTTCCCCACTGGGGCCGATGACCTCCACACCCACAGGTTTTTGCTCTGGCTTACAGCACCAATTTGGAGCTCCCCCTTGTGGAGAAGGCCTTAGGTCCAAGTGGAAAGTAGTTGGTTGTACCAGTAACAGTGTGCCACTACTGCATTAGTGGACACATCTTGCCTGATGTGTGGATACTGTAGCACACAGGGTCCATAGCTGAGCAGGACACTTAGTTGGTGAGAATCCTTCCCCAGCAGCCTTCAGAGCACCATGATAGTCAGCCAAAAAGAAGGGAGCTTCCAGTGGAGCGCAGATTTATTTTTCTATGTCTGTAATCAATGTTAGATTTTTTGAGACTAAAAGGAAAGATAGAAAAATGGGAGGCAAGAAACCAGAGCCAGACCTGCAACAGGCAAGGAATAGACTAGACCTTCCTTTATTAAAAGAAGACATAGTGAGAGGTAGAGCTGACTGCGGGAACCAAGCTTCTACAACTGGACAAAGAAAACTGGAGGGGGCAGGTTATACCAGGATTGTAAGACGCAGCTGCACTTTGTGGGGAGTTGAATTAGTGCCCAGGTTTGGTGTCCTTGAGGGTCTCTTTTCACAGACAGGTGGGTGAGTTATCTCCAGCACTAAAGGGGACAGGTGGGCTCCATAAACAGTCTCTTCCTTAGTCTAGGGAGTGACCAGTTGATAAGGCTTGAGCAAGGCCAGACTTGAGCAAAGTCAGGCTGCCAATTTAGGGCCAGTTAGACACTTTAAGGGATTTATGGCTTTCCCTAATGAAGCTTGTGGCTCTTCTGCAATTCACACATTCTATCAATCAAAATATGTGGTGTCTTCAGAAGCAGGGGCCTTACCATCTAGCCCAACAGGGGTATACAATCAACAGTAGAAGTAAGGAGCTAGCTCTGGCCTATAACTAGGGTTTTTACCCAGTAGCCTTATGACTCCTAGGACTGCCCTTTTCTAGTCACACAAGTACCTTTAAACTCCTTCACTGCTCCCTTTACTGTTCTTCCAGATGCTCCTACAAATCTGTAAGATGCTCAAAGGTTAGCATTATGTCAAGAAACCTTTTTACAGAGATTAGGCAGGATCTCTGAAGGGCCACCATCATCAGATCCAAGTAATTGCTAGTTGGTCTTGAGCAACTAAGAGGATACTGAAAAGGGAGTGTCAGGAAGAGCCAATACAATATGAAAAGATCTTATCACTTTTACCAATTACTTTGTCAAAAGAGCAATACTGGGTATGGTGCATGGATGGGGGACACTGCCCTATCAACCCCTCCATGATCCACAGGCATTTTACATGAGCCATCCAGCCTCCTCATCCTTGGGTACTGCTGCTGCTGTGGGATTGCTGTGCATTTCCCCTACCAGATGGTCTAGGCAAGGCTGACTTGAGCTGCCCAGCCTGTTTAGCCTGCTCTGCATGCCAGTTCTGATAGGCTCCAGATCAGCACTGTGGCCCTTACCTTTCTATCAGCCACACATGGCTCCCACAAGGGCCCCAGCTGGATAGCCAGTCCCTAACCTCGTTATGCTTTACGTCACACGTGCTGTGCAGAATAACCGGTAACCCCTGGATCACGCTTAATCCTTTCATCCGAATGTTTTCTCACTTATATATTCTGTGAACTCTTGCTTGATTTGAAAGCCTTCCAGAAGCTCGCTAGCACAGCATTTGGCTTTCAGATACTTTTTCTTGAGGAACCCCAGCTTGGCACAAATTTCGCTACATTTGTCATCCCGTCCTGTTGGCTTTTCCACTCTATGCACTGGATTTACATGTGGGTCAAAGTCATTCATGTTTACCAGAGCTTTTCATACCTCATGAAGATCATATTTTTATACGGCTTAGCAAAGCCACTAAAGCTTTATGCCAGTCCCAAGGTCTCCAAGTTCTTTTTTTTAAACATTAAAAAAATTATTTTATGTGTATAAGTGTTATACTTACATGCATGTAGGTGCACCCGTGTCATGCAGTGCCCTTGGAGGACAGAAGAGGGTGTCAGATCCCCTGGAACTGGAGCTACTGACAGTTGTTAGCCACCATGTGGGTGCTGGGATTTGAACCCATGTCTTCTGCAAGAGCATCCAGTGTTCTTAACCTCTTAACCACTGAGCCATGCTTGTAGCCCCCTAAGTTCTTTTTAAACTCCAGTTCTTTTTCTTTTCTTTTTTTGGCTTTTTGAGACAGGGTCTCTCTGTAACCCCAGCTAGCTTGGAACTCACTATGTAGACCAGTCTGACACCAAACTCCAGAGGTCTGCCTGCCTCCCAAGCACTGGGATTAAAGGTGGGCACCACCACACCCTGCTTTCATGAAACTCTGTCCTCCCTCGAGGAAGTTGCTATCTGACAGTACTGTACGAGGTGGGCCAGAGGTTGTTGACTGTAATGTTATATTCATCTCGTCTTCCAGCTTTGTATTCAGCATCTTTCAGAATCCATGTTAGGTTTTTCTATTTCTGTAAAAAACTGCATTTTTAAAATGGGAATTAAGTTGATTTTGTCGTTCACATCTTATCAATATTCATTCCATGAATGTAGGCTGTGCTTCCACCTA